AGCAGAAATTGCGAGGAGGTATGTGGTTTCCCCTCCAGTCGTTAATTCTTGGAGCCATGGAGTCTGTGCCAATTGAACTCAATCTCAGCTGTCACTTTGCAATAAGTTAATTCTTCATCAAGAGAACAGTACCGCTCCTCCTCCCAGAGTGCTGGGAAAGCCTTTGCTAGTCTGCCATGTCTTTCATTAGCCTGAGCTGACCTTGGGTTAAAGTCTAACTCTGAAGGTATTGCATTAGCTGCTGTGCCAGCCAGCTGCAGGGAGGAGCCACCACGGGGTGCCAAGGCAGCGGGACACTGGCTTCCAGCACCCTGCCCTGCTCCCCTGTGGGGCCTGCACCAGCCCTGCACTTGTGCTTTCGTTGCATGATGAGGTCCAAGGGACAGAGAGCTGCAGGGACATCACCACAGGCTGCTCACATCGCAGGGGCCTCGGAGCCAGCCCTTTGCATTCAGCAGTGCTGGCTCTGGGGGATCTGGCATTGCTCAGTTTCATGTCCTTTTGCATAAACACAAAGGAATATAGTTTTCTGGCAAAAAGAAATATACCCTTTATATGCTTTTTCTTATAGAAGATTTTTGTCTCCTGCCTCCCATTCTAGCAGATTAGCGGTGCATTTTGTGGAAATTGCCTTTTTCCTGTCAGTTGAATCCTCAAACCACTGCTCTTTCTCCAGTATCCCCACTACAAGCTTTTAACCTTTCTTTTTTTCTTTGGAAGAAGGGGATAAGGGCTAGAAGGAGGCAGGGGCAGCTCAGTGCATTTAGGGGAACTTCCATTAGAGAATTTTCTGTTTGTCTTCTGCTAGCACAATCTGACCATTCAGGATTCCTGGTACCTTCCCTTACTGGTGGAGAGTGCTACTGGGCAGACTTAAATCTCTAACTGCTGCAGTTCAGATGGGCTGGAATAAAATGAGGACACTTCTATTCAGGTTAACCTTGTTTCAGATGCTTTCATGTGGTGGGATGATGAATCTAGAAAGTCATCATCTCTCCTCTTCAGTGTCTGATCTGCCTAACCTACCCTGCAGTGAGTGGTTACAAGTTTTCTTACACTTTTACTGTGACAGGGATGGGTAACATGTTTCTAAGGGCTGAGTTTTCTGTGCTTTTCACACATACCCATGGCACTGGGATTCAGACATAATTTTACTCTAAGCTGACAAGGTTACATGCTCTGTCTGTTAAGCAATATATGTTACTCTGTTCTGCAGGAAGGGCAGTTTTAATACTCTGCCAGTAGGAATGTGTTGTGCAATGATGCATACACCAGCTGGCATTATTTTCCATCTAAAGTTATTTAAATGGTGAACTCTGCATAAAAGACAGATGTTGAAAATAGACTCCCACTAACCTGAGGTCAATGGTAAGGCTATCCTGCTCTGCTGAGAGGTTTCTTTTCTAATTGAGAAGAATATTTTTGTTGTGGGCAGTATAAAATTAAGGGATAATCTTTATTCACTTCTCAGCTGGTTGGAGTTTACAAGTGATCTAATACTTTTTCGTTAGTGAGACCACTTCTTTTCTTCTTGAATATCTTTACTTTTTTAACTTTGGCATATCTCAGATGTCCATTTTCAATCTTTGCTTACCAATTTTAGCAGAGTGCTTAGAGCTTCAGTTGGAGACTGACTGTGGAGCTGTGCAAGTCCAGGAACAGTTGGGTTTCTTTGTTACTCTTTCAATTTTCTGTGTATTTCCCTGCAATGATGTCTTACGTATTTTCTGGGGTTGCCATGTTGCTGTAGCCAGGAATTAATGTAATTAACCCAAACCTGTAGTATTATTACAGGTGTTTAAAGACTGAGAATCATGCCCAGAGCTGACAGCCAAGAAAGCTCCTCTGACCATTACACCATTTAGTTATAAGTAATACATTGCAATGTGAAATGCTGCAAGGTGTGAAACCAACAGGGATCGTGGGGAATTGCACAAATTCTCTTTCCTTCCTGCCACTGTCAGCTGCTGCCTTCCTGGGAGCTGTAGGAGCTTGCTGGGGTGTGCACGGGCTTGGGGTGAGACGTGCCTTTCTCCTGCCATAACCAGTAAGCAGCATCCTGGCATGGCAGCGCACTGTCACTGCCAATGTGAAGGGCTGCATCATAAGCCGGCAGGTCTGAGAACACATTCTGCCATGCACAGTTTTGGGTGCATCCCTTACAGTCTGTATGGCTCAAATCTCACTTAGAGGAACTGTGCAAACCTAACTCTCCCTTTGGCCCTAGCTAGAGGTACTGCTTTAGTTGAAATCCCTCTGCTTTGCAGAATTAGCCTTGTGAGCAAGGCAGAGCAAATTGCACAGTAGTCTGTAAGCAGGGAGGGTAGCTGTGCATGAATGGTATGCCAGGCTCTGCAGAGTGGTACGTGTTCTCTCTAGGTTTGATTTGCTACCCCTCTCTCCTGAGTGGTTTTCCTTCCTGCTTGCACCTGTTTACCCAAACACAAATCTGAAAACAGTGCATCTCCTGGCCCATGGGCTCAACATGCCTGACCCATGCAGCCCAGGGATGCAAGAGGCTGCTCAGCTGAATTGCTGTTTTATTGAATCCTCTTCCTTGCTAATTTGCTATTAAATTACGGTTAGCATTTCATTAGAGTCCCATTGGGCATGAGTTCATTAGTGTTTTATTGGCTAAAACTGTGCTTCCTTGCATGGGAAATGTATCCCAAAGGGCATCTGGACTCATCGGAACGATTGTACTAACGAGGGCGGGATGGGGCAGAGTGTGCAATAGCTTTTTAAGCACATGGCTTGGACTTGCAAAGGAGCTTGGCTCTTGCCTCAGCATCAGCATAAAGGCCTGGATTTATGCAAGGGCTTAGCAAATCTGGCTGGTCGGCCCTTCTGAGCATTTGGCTTCTTTGCTGGAATTTTGCCCTGAGCCATCAGCACAAGGGGAATTTTGCTTCCGCATGGCAGAGCTTTCCCTATGGCACTGCCCTCTGCCAGAGCGAGCCTGGGCAGAATCCTCTGCCTGCAGCCAGGAATTATGGCAGTGTCTCCAAGGAGCTCTGCATCTATTCTGTCCCTGAAACATACGCCAGGGCTGGGTAGCATCTTTGCTGAAACATCCTGGCCGGTCTGCATTGCTGTCCTGAGGCTGTTACTTGACCAAAACCAAGCTAAAAATATTCTTTCTAACCCGGAGATATTTTTCAGAATTGCTGTCTCTTCCAAGTCCACATTAGTTAGCACTTGGGATGGCCCAGAATAGAAACCCCACAGCTCCAGCAGCACAGAAATGCAACTTGATGTTTATAATCAATGATTGTTGGGTCTAATAAATCAGGCTGCAAGGTGCCATGTGGTGACTCTGGGAGCTGTGGAGAGCATATATATCAGCCCGTGGCTCTTGGAAAAATCACATGTAGAGCTCCAGAAGGTGCTGGTTTAATTACTCCAAGGCAAATGATCTGAAGCTCACCTTTTCAAGGCTAAATCAAGATGTTTCTTTAGTGTTAGGTACCAGACATCTGCTGTGATCTCACTACTGATCTTGGCAAGGCACAGAGGCAGGCTCTTAGGTGCAGTTTTGCTTCTTGTAATGACGAGGAAGGGGAGTATTGGGCTTAGAAACCCACCCTCATGGGCTCTTTGATGAGGGACTCTGGTGAGGCCCTTGTCCATGAAGAATAAGCCCTGCAAGCAGCATATGAGTATGTTCTGGGAATTTTGAGGCTGTCTGTATCCATGGTGGGGGCCTGAGCTCTGCTGTCCCCAGCCCATCACCACGGCTTCAGCCCCAGCACAGGTGGGCTTGCACAGCTTGCCTGGTCTGTGCACTGGGGAGGGCAGAGCTGCACTCCTCTCACTGTTATCCGAGTCACCTGTGTCTCCCATCCCCATCGGTGACTTTAAAATGGCTGTAAGGAATTTTATTTTCAGGTCTTTTATCGCTCGATTGCCAGTCAGGGCCAGCAGCTTTTCCTGTCTGCTGTCTCTGGCTGCCAAAGTGAATACATCATGCAGTGCTGGAAATGTCACACCGAGGCTCAAGGCTCAGTGTGGACTGGAGGCAAGGCTTTGCTTCAGGGTGCCTGCCCTGTGCTCCCTCTGCAGAGAAACTGGTGAAATAATGATAAGATAAATTGAATTCCTCTGCTTGGATGTGCGAGGTGCAGGATGCAGGGCTTTTCTGCTGCTGGGGGAACACAGAGGATCTGTCCCCGTGGCTGTGCAGAGCACCCTGCCTGTGGGGCCAGAGCACCAGGTACTTGATGTAGGTGCAGGCATGGTAGACTAGTCCTATCCCCAAAATAGAGCAGGAGTTGCTCAGCCTAAATGGCTCATCTAGCTTATTCCCCTGCCAGCCCACTCCCCACTCATAAGAGTAAATGCTAAAGTGGCTGGATTTTGGAAGATCTCAGTTCTCTCCCCCGGCTGGACCAGAGCTTTGTGCTTAGTCTTTGATCTTCAGAAGTTCTTGTTGGGTTTTTTCCTGTCCAGTGACTTCTAATTGAAGTGGGTAATTGCATTATCCCCTCTCCCCTGGAGCAGTTCACAGACTCCTCAGCAACCACCTTCACTTTTACACTGAGCCCAAGAAAAAAAAGCCCAGTAGAAATGCCATTTCCTGTATGAGAGCTCAACAATGGTCACAGTCAGTGGAGCAAACCCAGCCAGGTTGTGGAGCCCCAGGGGCTGGCAGGGCTGGGGAGGTGGCAGCCCTTTTTGGGGGAGGTACAGCCCTTCAGAGGGGCAGAGGAACACAGGTTAACATTTCCAACAGCACCCTGGGCTGAGCAAAGCATTATTCACATCCACGGGCCATATCGCTTCTGGGTGTGCTCCTCTGGATGCTGGGCACAGGGACACTGCAAGGCAAAATAGCCTGCTGTCCTGTCCTAGCGTGGATGGGCAGGCTGGTGCAGGCATGTGCTCAGGGAAGCAAACTTTTCCCTATTGCTCTTGCCACTTCCCATGAGTCTTCTCAGCCCTTTCTGGGGCTTTCCTGATGCAAGAAGGCTAATTCAGGTATTTTCTTCCATCCCCTGCAGTATGAATTTAAAGCCAAGAATATCAAGAAGAAGAAAGTGAATCTCATTGTGTCAGTGGATGGTGTGAAAGTCATTCTGAAGAAGAAGAAGAAGGTAGGCAGCCCTGGTCCTCGGAGCAGTGGTGCCTCAGCAGCAGGAGCACTCCCCTCGCAATGCTGTGACCTGCAGCATCCTTGGAGTTCTGTGAAACTCTATTGGGCTGGGAGAGGGAGGGCTGGGATGAGCCTCAGATGAGCTGTGTTCCCTCAGGGTGCCTGAGCCAGTCTTGATGCAGGGGATCTTGATTTGATGCAGGGGATCTTGATGCATGGGGCTCAGGAGCCCCAAGAGAAGTGATGTGGGACATTGCTGGTCCCTGGGAGGACCCAACCCTTGGCAAAGAGTTGCAGAGGAGCATCAGCAGAGCTGTGACAAGAGTTTCCAGGTCTGTCCCTGGACTGTCTTTGTCCTGTCGTTGATCTCAAGGGCAGCATCTGACGTACTCATTTTCAGCTTCTTTCATTGCAGAAAAAAGAATGGGCCTGGGATGAGAACAAAATGCTTGTCATGCACGATCCCATCTACAGGTAAGTCTGCACGGTGAGGGGATGGAGGCTTGCGTGTTTCTGCTGTGGTACTTACCCCACACCACAACAGCACTGTGTTGGGGACTGACCATGGAGAGCTACCACCATGCCCACTGAGGGCAGCTTTTCAAGCAGGCAAGGTGGATGAGTGAGGTTTGCTTTCCTTGGTCCTTGGAGGGCTCCTGGGCTGCTGGCTCTGTCCCTGGGGACTGAGCAAAGAAAGCCCATGCTGCCTCTGCAAAATGCTTGCAGCTGCTGTGTCAGCAGGCTACTTTTCCCAGTTGAGGCAAAACCACTGCCAAAAACGTTTCCAATGGGATTTTGCAGGGATGTGCTGCAGAAGCTGGGCATATTCTGGCACCCTGTGCCCTGCAAAGCAGTGGCTGTGGCCTTGCCAGTCTCCTGGGCATGTGGGTACAATGTATGTTGATATTTTCCTTTCCTTACTGTCCTTGTAGGATATTCTATGTGTCTCATGACTCCCAGGACCTAAAGATCTTCAGTTACATTGCCAGGGATGGGTCTAGCAATGTCTTCAGGTGCAACGTCTTCAAATCCAAGAAGAAGGTAGAGATGCTGGGATGTGCATCCTGCCATTGCAGGGTCTCAGTGGGGCAGCTGGGACAGGACCCTGTCACCGTGCTGCAGCTGGCAGCCCAGAGCACCCTGGTGATCCGAGTGCTGGTGCCTCAGTCCATGTGGCATCACACAGAGACCCCTAAGAGCTGTGCCAGGCTGGGGAGGTCACTGGGCTGGGGCAGCCCAGCTGAGGTTAAGCTCCTTCTCTCCTTTCCTCCCGCAGAGCCAAGCCATGCGTATTGTCCGGACAGTGGGCCAGGCATTTGAGGTCTGCCACAAGCTGAGCCTGCAGCACACCCAGCAAAATGCAGATGGGCAGGAGGATGGAGATAGTGAGAGGAACGGGGACGACCTGGATGTCCCAGGTACTCTGCAAGGGTGGAGGCAGGTGTGGTGTTAAGGCGCTGGAGCCTGGCAGTTGTGGCGTGCAGTTACCCTCTTCCCATGTGGCTCCTTGCCGTCTGACACCTGCAGGGAATGGATTTGCACAGCAATCTGGCCTGTGGTGCTTTATGCTGAAGCTGGGATGGTGCCCAGCAAGGAGCCTTCGGTAGGTGTTGGTTGTCATTTTCACAGACATCACCCTTGCTGGGAGCCCATTAGCAGTGCCTGGGTCTCTGCTGGGTGCCTGAATACTCTCCATGCTCAGCTGCACATGCTGCAAACATTTCCTCACTGCTTCCAAGAAAACGCACTAAGCACTTGCGCACATTCTGAGGCACTCATGGGGCCAAGTCCAGCTCTCTGCAATTCCCTGCATTATGAAGCTGTGCTTGGGGTCTTGCATCAAGCTCCTGGAGCTGCAGGCAGCCTGCGGACCCTGTCTCCCTTCTCAGCCCCATCGGCAGAGGGCTCAGTGGGGCCCTGGAGGGCTGCCATGCTCCTCGGTGCCAGTGGCTGAACTGGAGGGGAGACCGATGTTTTGCAAGAGATTGGTTAAACACCTCCATTGCCCATTGAGATGCTGATGGGTCCTGCTATCTGGGTGTGGGTTGCCTGCTTTCCTCTGCAGCCAGTGCTGTTGTGATGACCTAATCATGGGGCTGTCCTGGACAAGTCATTGTTTGGTTTTCCTCCACACAATGTCCAGGCCATGATATGCAGTTCCCTGGAGATTTCTGAGCATCTGTTTTGTTTTGTTTGGGTTTTTTTCCCTTTGTAATCTCTTGCTTACCTTCCTTTAGCTTTCTACGTGTCTTCTGCTTTTGATGACCTATTTGTTCCACATCAGGGGTTTTGACCGCTGTTCCCCAGATTTGATGTGCTGGGGCTGGGTGTGTTTTTGGCTGTAAGCTCCATCCAGGAAATACAGCTGTGGTGTTCTGTACCTGCTTCCCCCAGCACTGGGGGGTGGGTGGCTGAGGCAGTGGAGGCTGACCGATGGGCATCATTCACTATACCCTGGGCACACCATAGCATGCTCCCACTCCAAGCGGGCTGTACTTTGCTCTGATGCTGCTCCCACAGCCTGTCGCCTCACCGGTGCAGAGCGGGCAGCCGCCTCGGCAGAGGAGACGGACATCGATGCTGTGGAGCTCCCACTGCCCGGAGCTGACATCCTTGACTTCAGCCGTGGCGTGACTGACTTGGATGCTGTGGACAAGGAGGCAAGTGCATACACTGATGCCAACGTGCGTGGGTCCTTGCCCTCAACTGCTGGTGCATGGCGTGGCCCTGGCGCTATGGCTGTGAGCATCCCAGGGGCCCAGGGATCAGGAGGGATTCTGCAGCATTCCCCTGATCCCAGATCAAAGCTGTCTGCTGCCACAGGGCTGCCCTTTGGCTTGGGGCCCGGGACACTCCTGGGGAGTGCTGTGCTGAGGCTCAACTATGTGCAGGCACATGGAAAGTGTCTGGGGCAGAGCTGATAGGGATTTTTTTCCATCAAACAAACAAAAGAGAAAAAAGGACTTTTTTGATACAGTGGAAATTCCCATGAGAAGTGTCAGCCTTTTCAGGAATTTTCTACAGAAGTATTTAGGCTGTTGTCAAAACTGAAAAAACACCATCTTCCTAGTTTTTCAGCACCCCCAGCAAAGTCTGCATTTGTTTTTCATGCAGAAGCTTCTTTCCTGGGTATTTTAAGGGACTACAGCCTGTGTGTGCCTGTGGGCTCTCCGTGGCAAGGGGCAGAGGATCACAGATGTTGGTGTTTTGCAGGGCTGCCTCCTCCCTGAAGATATCCTGACAGCATCGCCTAAGATGCTGCTGCCCTCATCTGCGCAGCTTCCTGACCTGGGAACACCCCTTTCTGCTCACCACCAGATGCAGCTCCTCCAGCAACTCCTGCAGCAGCAACAGCAGCAGACACAAGTGGCTGTGGCACAGGTTCTCCCCTCTACTCTTTCCTGGGGCAGCGGCAAGGCTGGGGCATGCTATCAAGCTCCTCATTCCTGCCAGAGTAACCCCTGCCTGAAGGCAGTGCTGGAGACAGGCAGCATCGTGGGGAGGGCATGCTGCCTCTAGGCAGAGAAGCCCAGGCGATGGTTGTGGGAAAAGCTGGTGCACAGTCTGTGGGGAGGGACCCACTCCTGGGCTGTGCAGCAGCGGGAGAGGAATGGCAGTTTGCCCTGGCCCTGTCACAGAAGATGAGATGCTTAGGTCCACATGCCACCAGTGTTCTTGGTCCTTTGGCCCCTGTCTGTTTGCCAGTGCTTGGCTTAGCATTAGCCCTGGCCAGCTGCTGCCTGGGCTGTGCAGCTGGCAGCTCTTTCTCTATGCAGGCATTTCTCATTTAAGCAGCTCTGGCTGCTTTATCCAACTCGTTACCTTAGCTTTACTTGTTCCCTGACTCCTCAAAGAGCTCTCTGCAATTGCTTTCATTTCTTTCCATGCTGAGCGATTGGCTTCAGCAGCCTTTCTGTGCTGTCCCATGCTTTCCTCTTCTCACATCAGAAAATCAGTATTGGTTCTTCTGTCTGAGCTGCTACCCTGACAGCTCAGTATCTTCTGGGGTCACAGGCTCGGGAAGTTGCTTTCCCCTCTGGAAGGGGGACCTGCATTCTTTATGTCTGACCAAGCATAGTGTTGTTACAGGCAAAGCTCACCAGGGAAAGCCAGGCCCCTCTGTGGCAGGGGCTGATCACCTTCAGCAGCTCCCAGTCTGTGTACCTGCACAGCCTTGCAGTGGTCATTTTATTTCGTACTTCCAAACAAAAAAAAAAATCTGAAATAGTGTAATGCCATCGCTTGTCTGGCTCCTGGGATGGCAGCCCATGGCCTCATCTCCTCCTCTCCAAGGGCTGGCACCCTTCTCTGGACCTCTGCCCACCATAGGATGGTTCTTGTCACAGGAGCTGTCACTTAGCTGTTCTCTAATCCCTTCAGTGTGTGCACCGTGGTGATATTGTATCATTGTAATTTATTAATGAAAACATTGGGCCCTATCACCTCAACTGCCTTTCAAATGACTGCATGTGTTACATCAACACCTCTGTTAATGGCACTTGTTATCTCCTCTCAGAGGAGGAGGCATAGGCTTAATTGTTTACTAACAAAGCCGGGAGATCCACTGTGTTGACAAGGATCTATGGTTGGTCAATAACTACAGGGACCATCCTGCAATTGTCTCAGCCTCTAATTACTTGGCTGAGGATGAAATGCCATTTAGTTCCCTCATTGACTAGAGACTTTTGCAAGGTGTGTACAGACTCCTGTGAAAGTTCCTTCTCTTGAATTAAGGCCAGGAGTCCTTCCTGGGTCTTGTTCCCAAGGGGATGATGGCATGAGCCACTGCCCCTCTGCAGGACATGGCATTTGGGCTCTGCTGGCATCTTCCCCTGGCATCACCTGGGTGTCACCTGGCCCCTGCTGCAGATGGAGACAGCTGCCAGTTGCAAGGAGGGATGACTTCCAGGCTGACGCTGCCAGTCCCGAACTTTAGCACCCACTTGTTATTTACATATAATCCCAGTTCTGCTCAGGGTCTCTGCTTCACCCACCAGCATTTGGCAGAGGGTCCCTGTCCCACCTCACTGCTGTGCCCCACTGTTCCACCACTGGCAGGAAGAAGAGGTGACTGTAGTGGTGGTGTGGCATTTCACCTGGCTGGAGGCCCACAAGCAAACCAAAAGGGCTCTATGCTGCCTGCTCAGTGTGTAAAGTATCGCACCCTGTTGCTCTTGGTCTGGCTTCATGGACAGTTGCAGGTGACAGCACTTTGCTTGGCCCCTTGCCACCGCCTGAGCTCGCTGTGCTTCAACTCTGCCCTGCCAGGGGCGCTGCCATGCTGCCTTGCTGGCTGTGTTTGGACAAAGCAGGCAGAATCTGCTTGCAAGCAGACCCGGCGCTGCCTTCTGGTACCCATCCAGGAGGGCAGATCAAAGAGCTGCCCCTGGGCAAGTGCTCCTGGCTGGTCTCACCCAGGAGCATCCCACCCTCTCTGGGATGTGGTGCTGGTGATATAGATCACTTGCCTGTGGGTAGTTATGCTGAGATCAGTGGGCTTCTTGCCCATGGACTCCCTGCAGGCTAACATCCAGGCATTACTTCCAGGGGTAAAATGAGCAGCCAGCTTGCATCCCTGGAGCCACTGTGTCTCAGCAGCACTTTGCCATCTGTGTTGCTCGAGGCTTGTCATGCTGTCGCCGCCAGAGCCACCTGCAGCTCCAGGGCAGCTCTGATGCTCCAGCCCCTGCTAGTGACAGACGCCACTGGCAGGACCCTGTCCCTGGGAAACTTGCCTGGAAAGACAGCTCAGATGGGGCTGCCCATGGTGCATGGCTGCACGCTCATGCATCGGCAGCACTATCCAATTGTTCGAGTGTGTCTTTTCTTCTGCATCTATTTGGCTCCCTCCCGGGCTGTCCTTTTTTGTGCATTCGTGGCACATGTATGTAACCAATGGTTTGGTCAGTGCTACTTTCCTTTGCCTCGGGCTTTTCCATCCAAGAGGCATGGGGACCATGTGCTGGATTTGCTGCATGTACACTGGTGTGACACTGCTGCCTGCCCTGCTCTGCATCTCATCTGTGGGTAGCCACAGCGAATGGCTTCTTCATTAGATCATTCCATGGGATGCTGGTGAGTGCTGGTAGATGAGCAGGGCTGGCTGGAATTGACACTCAGCCCTTGAGCAGCATCATCCACACACTTACCTGCTCTCTCCTGTCACACAGGTCCACTTGCTGAAGGACCAGCTGGCTGCAGAGGCAGCAGCGCGGCTGGAAGCCCAGGCTCGCGTGCATCAGCTCCTGCTCCAGAACAAGGACTTGCTGCAGCACATCTCACTCCTGGTCAAACAGGTGCAGGAGCTGGAGCTGAAGCTTGCGGGGAACACCACCAGTAAGCGCTCCTGCCCCTTACTCTCCCCTCACAGCTAGCCAGGTCTGTGGAGGACATGCATGTGGGTGTTTCTCTTGGGGTTTTGTGGTTGACCAGTGGGTGTGTAGGGGAATATTAGTGCCTTTCTGGCCTGGTTGGTTTGCATGTGGCAGAGTGCTTGCAAGCAGTGTGGGAATGGCTTGGGGAGGACTGTATGGACAGGTCATATATGTCCGTCAGCTGTATGACCGCTTTCCCCAGTGGCTGCATGCTCTAGGCCAGCTCCTTACCTGCTCAAGAGCCCCTCCTTGACCTTGCCCTCCAGCAGATGTGGCCATCAGCTCCCTGCAGAAGCTTGGATGGGAGACGTAACTTTTTATCCTGCAAAACTGGCTCTTTATTGGCAGGCAGCAGCTCCTGGCACCAGTGACACCAAATGAGCCCCTCTAAATGATTGTGGTGGGGAGGCTGACACCCAAGCGGCCCAGGCCATTCTCCTCTGGCCAGTCTGCAAGCAGCTGTAGTGGCTGGGGTATGCCCAGGCAAGCTGGGGTAGCACTGCCTGCCTCTCAGTCATGCTCTTCTCTTGCAGCAGGCTCCCAGGACAGCCTGCTGGAGATCACCTTCCGCTCAAATGTCCTCCCTGTCCTCTGCGACCCTACCACCCCGCAGCCCGAGGACACCCACCCGCCGCCGCTGGTCTCTGGCTCAGGCTTCCCCAGCACCATGGGCAGCCCCATAGGTAGGAACGACTGTCTGGTGAAGCTGGAGTGTTACCGCTTCCTGCCTGACTCGGGGCCACCTGCCCCGGAGCCAGCGCTGGGCAGCCTGGAGCTCATCAAGTTCCGCGAGTCGGGCATTGCCTCCGAGTATGAGTCCAACACGGACGAGAGTGAGGAGCGTGACTCCTGGTCCCAGGAGGAGCCACCGCGCCTGCTCCATGTCCAGACCAGGCAGGACCTGGGTGACAGCCTGGAGGATGAGATCGCGGTGTAGGGATTGGCAGGAGGTGGTGCAGACCTGCCGGAGCTGGGGTGCACCCTGGTCATAACCCCCTGGCCCTGGCAGGAGCAGGACATCTCGGAGGTAGAGGGGTGGAGGAGGGAACATGAGGCTTCAGCACACAGCTGGGAGCTGTGCAGAGGGGAGGATGGAGCTGTGCCGAGGCGGTGTGCCGGGCATGCTGTGCTCCACCCTGCAAGGCCTTGTGTGCTGAGCTGGAGCATCCCCACTTCACATCAGACAGCGAGCTGAGCTGGTTGGGCTGTCCCATGGTCCCTGTCCCCCTGCAGGCTGCATCTCAAGGTCAGGCAGAAGCAAGGGACTCCCTGCCGGGTTATCCACTGCTGCTGGTGGGGAAGCAGGAAAGTAGATGAAGGTTTGCTGGGGGAATGAGAGAGCAGGCGTGGGGCAAGAGGGACCAAGGAGGCAACATGAAGGCAGTGAGCAGAGACAGAGCCACTGTCAGGAGGTCTGGCTATCTGCATGGTGGAGAGGGTGAGAGATGAAGCCAGGTCCATGCTGATAGGGTGGTTAGGGCTGGTGATGGTGCACTGTTGGCAGGGGTGAACAAGTGAGAGGTAAGGCAGTGGGGGACAGTGGGGACGAGCCTGGAAGGAGCTGAAGGAGTGAGATGAGGTCATGCAGGGTGGCCATACACAGGCAGCTCCTGGCAAGTTGATGGTGTTTGCTGTGCTTCCAGGAAAGGGTTTGTCGTGCCTGAGGTAGGTGGAAGGCCTGCAGGCTATGTCCACTCCTCTCTCAGTCTGTGGAGTGGGTAGGAAGGCTCAGCTCGGTGTGGAGCAGGGAGCCAGGGCATGCAGCACAGGGCTGTTCAGTGCCCTTTGTCTCGTCATACAGTCCTTTTGCTCCTCCGCGTGGCTGCCAGGTTTCAAAGCCTTTCTGGTGCTCTCAAGTCACATTTTCAAGCATTTCCCTGCACCCCCTTCACCACAAACTCCCAGCTTTGCTTTATAGACAAACCGTCCCATTTCTAAGCAGTCATGTGCCCCTGGACCAGGGATGGGGGATGCAGTGCTGGCATCGTCTGTGTGCAGGGATGGGCATGCTTGCCATCCCTCAATGGGGAGGGAACTGCTGATGTCTGCAAGGGGGCTTCTTTAGCTCTGGTTTGCACCCTCTGGAAAAGTGAATCTGAGATCTTAGGATTCCCCAGCAGACACCAAGACGCCCATGGCTGAGAGCCATCCTGGCGGCCTCCAAGGGATCTAGAGTGTGTTTCTTTTCTGCAAGCACATTTATCAGTTGTCTGTTGAAGCAGTCTCTAAGAGGATGCAGCTGAAGGGGTATGAACCAGAGTTCTAATGTCCATCCTGCTTCTTGTGGAAACACTCAATGAGGTGGGGATTGGCACAGTTGTCTTCCTCCCCACTCACCCTCCTATCCTGCTTCTGCTTCACTTTGTTGCTTTCTTGCTACTTTTGTCTTCACCAGCTCTGTCTCTGCTAGATCTGCCTGCAACTAACCCTTAGTAGAGGAGCTCTCAGACACGAGCTCTTGTTCTTCGCCTGGCTGCTGAGGAAGGGCCATCACTTCTTTCTGCCCCAGTACCCTTTGGACTGAGGGCTAATAAGGAATGAGGTATGGGTGAGACTCCCTGGGTTGGTACAAACTGCTATGCAGCCTCCATCACAGGAGAAGGCTGGACACTCTGAGGAGCTAGAGAGTCCTAGTGGGAAGGAAGATGTTTTGGTGTCCCCAGCAGTGGCCTGGTGTCCAGGGGAGCCCCTGCACCAGCCACAGTGGCAGAGTAGGAGCAGGCACAGGAGATGGTACAGATAGTGTGGGTTGCATGGGTGAGCTCAGAGAGGGATTTCCATGTGGGCAGACAGATCATGCAGGAGGGGGACAGCAGGAACTTGGCCATATGCACAGAGCAGATGAAAGGAGAGCCCAGGAGGAGCAGCAGCAAGTCTCTTCCAGGCTGGGCTGCCTTAGAAAGCAGGCAGGGCTGAGCTTCCTCCCGGAGCCACCGCTCCTGCACATCCCTGCTGCACAGGTGTAGCCCAGGCAGTGCCCTGCAAGGAGCACTGGGGCCAGCTGAGGGCTCAGGCTCCTGCCCAGCACTCTGCCTGCAGGAGAAGGTGGGGGGTGCCCCATGGGTTGATGGGGTGCTGCCAGAGCTGGGTGGGGACCCTGCCAGTGTCCTGCTGCACCACTGGTGTACATGTGTAAACAATCCTCCTCCTAAGTCAGCGCTGTCTCCAAGATGGCTCTCTAGCCTCTCACTTTTGCTATGGACCTTAACTGGGAATTTAAAGCTATATTTTTTGTCCTTTCTTTTCCTACAACTGTCGTGTTACTAACTGTTGACTCAATCTATCTGGGAGACCAATCTGCAATGTAAGTGCACTTAACCCTTGGGTGTTACCATTAGTCAACTGGCTTTTGCTAAATAAATCTTTCTATTTCTCAAGGCTTCCTGTTGTCTCTTCCTTCTCACTGACTCTCTCTTTCTGTACTTCTCTCCCCCTCCATGCTGAGAGCCACCACCAGCAGTGGCATCCCTTGGCCTTGCACACCTCCAAACTAAGCATCCTCCCCTGTGGGACTCTTGCTTGTGGTGCCAACCACTGGCTGCTGGTGAGAGTGAGGTGCCCTGAACACTGCTGGGAGTAGAGGGGTTTCAGTCTTCCCCTTCAGCCACTGCACAGCACAGGCTCATCCCAGGGCTGACCCAGCAGTTTGAGGATGCCAGGGGGTTCCTGCCATCTGCAGAGCACCATGCAGAGATGCTGAGATGCTAAGCAGTGCTTTCAGGGACATGGGAGATTTTTGGCTGCTGGTAAAGGAAAAGTCGGGAAGTCTCTTCTAAAGGATTATAGAGACAAGAGCAGCAGGCAGACAGGGCTGGCTGCTCCTGAAACGATTTATTCTGCCGCTGACAAGAGTGAAGGAGCAGTGCCCTCCCGCGGCGGCAGCCCGGTTGGCGGGGCTACATGGACACCCCGGGGGCCGCAGTCTCCTGCAGCATGCGCTCCTTCTCCCACAGGGCCTTGAGCCTGCGGTAGTACACCTTACAGCTGTAGCCCTCCTGAGAGCTGTTCTGGATGTGGGTCTTGATCGACCACAGCGTGGGGAACATGCAGCAGCATGATACACACTGGTAGCCATGCTGGGACACTGGGTGCTGCTGGGAAGCAGCAAGGATGTCCTGGACTGTGATTCTGGCTCTGCTACTGGGCAGCCTGTCCCTATTGGGTAGCTGAGCCTCATTTGAGGAGTCAGAGGAGGAGCAGACTATCTCCAAGAGGTCATCAGCTTCCTCATGCTCCTGAGTGCCGGTGGCAAGGCTGGAGAAGGGGCTGTCCTGGTGCTGCTGAGTATCTCCTTTGGTGCACATGAAGTAGCTGTAAGGTGAGAACCAGGGCCGGTAGATGGTGTGGGTGTTGGCAGGGAGCTTGCTGCTTGGTGGGGCTGCAGGGTCACAGGCTGTAGAGAAAAGGGTCTGCAGTGAGTCAGGGGTCCCTGTAAGAGCCTGGTCTCCCACGGGGTTGGGAGCAATGTTGGGCACTGCACTGTTCCTCTCTGTTTCCACGGGATGTCAGAAATGTCTGCGTCTGTCATTCCCATCATGGAGGGTACCATCCCTCCCACTATGGAATGCAGGGGTAGATACAGGCAAGGGATGGTGGGTGGGCATCAAGGCACCAGCACTGCACAAAGTTCATCTAGCAGTTCACTGGAGCCCTCCCATGGAGAGCTGCACTGGCACAAAGGCAGTGATGGGTGAGGTTGAGCTATGACTCCAAGGGCAGCACCCACAACTTTGAAGATTCCTGCTGGGAAGACATGGCGGAGACACCAGTGTAGTTCAGAGGAGGGGTGTAACTACAGAGCCCCACCAGGTCCCCAGAAAGCACCCGCTGCTGCAGCGCCACCTGGTCCACTTTCTCCACCCATGCCCAGCCTAACCCCTCCTACAGGCCCTTGTTGTGCCACAGAAGGCTGAGCAGTGACATGGCCATGCGCAGGAGGTGCAAGGGGGGCCCCTCCCCACATGCAGTGCTGGCTGCATGCACCCCCTTCTTACCTGATAGACTAGCAGGGCCACAGAGGCATGGGGCCTCTGGGCTTCTTGTCCTGGTGCCACAGTGCACAGTCCTGACGGAAACGGTGGGCAGGCCAAAGCTCTCCATCACCCTCATGTAGCTGGTGATGGTGTAGTTCCTGCAGCATGGTACCCATGCTGTAATCCAGCTGATGTCACAAAGGGACGGTGCACTGCAGGATGCTCCTGGGCAGTCTGCTCAGGCCCTGGGATCTCAGGAGCTTGGCCAGCACAAGGGGACAGACAGCCTGGGCTGGAGAGAAGACTAGAAGGGTGGGCAGTGCAGAGCCCAGGCTGTGGGTGCCCCCCAGGGAACGCCTTGCTGCTCTGCAGGTGCCTGGCTGACAAGGGCTTCCCGTGGCTCCCATCTCCGCAGGCAGCGTGCCAGGTCTGGGCAGGGGTCAGCAGCAAACCTCACCTGGCAGTGCAGAAGGGACAAGCTTGTTGTCCCCTTGGTAAATTCTCTTTCTTTCTTTCCACAACCTGCTTCCCAAGTCGCTCAGTGTCTCAGGTAAGAGATGCTCTTGGTGTGTTGGCAGTGCTGGTGTGGAGCCCTGGGCTCATTGCTACCCCATCCCACCCCATACTATCCTCAGTGCATGGCCTGGCTGCTCACAGCCTCTGCGGGGCTTCAGAAACAGCCTCCCTGTCCCCCAGAATTTGCTCCCATGCTGCTGGGTTGGGAGCTGGTGAGCAGCTCTGGGACATGCTCCCCCTGTGGGAGTCCCCTCTCCAGCCTGGCTCACAAGCCCTCACTGTCCCCTTTCCCCCTCCAGTGGACCAGAGCATGTTTGAGAACGCCAGTGCCAGCACAGCACCCACCCCACGGCCACATCACGGCCCTGCTGCAGCCCTGCTGCAGCCCTCCCGCCCTGCCGGCAGCCAGCACCTCCGCAACCTGGGCAAGGCCATGGGGGCCAAGGTGAATGATCTCCTGCGCCGCAAGGAGCCAGGTGGCCTCCCTGTTGTGGGAGTGATGGAGGTGAATGCCAGTGCTGGTGCCATTCTGGGCATGGGACAGCCGGCTAGTGAGGATGGGTGAGTGTTCCCTTGATGGGGCCATTTGGGACAGGCTGGAGGGGCGTCAGCATGGGGCTGTATGTGACTTCTCTGTGCTTGCAGGGCTGTGGGGCTGGATGTTTTTCCCCGGCTAGACCCCCCGCCCCCCGTCACCAAGAAGCGGACACCACGTGCCCTGAAGACCCCGCAGGACATGCTCATTGCTCCACAGCCAGTGGCGACCACCCCAACGAGCAGCATGGAGGAGTCCCCTGAACCACCCACAGCCCACTCTGACCCCTCAGAGGAGCAGCCGGGGATGAGGGACCCATCCCCTCTAGAATGCCTTGGGGTCCCCAGCATGATGGGCACCCCAGGTTCCAGTGAGGACCAGCCCACTGGTGCTCTTCCTGTGCCTGACCTCATCCATAAGGGCAACCTGGAGAGCCAGCGGCGAACGGGAGAGTCGCTTGGCACAGAGAAGTCCTCCCAGAGACCAGGGCTGGAGCATGAGCCACTGGGGAGCACAGGGCGGCCAGAGGCATGTTCCCCTGGCTGGGAGGTGGAGGGGCCTCATCCTGACTTACTGTCATTTGAGTAGCAGTGGGGGAGCCACAGCAGGGGCACTGTGGGGGCTGGCTCTCCCAAGCAGCCACATGCTGACCCCATGTCTTTTTGGGGTCATTATTTTGGAGAGGGGGAATCCCCAGGGTGGCAGAAGCCCCTGCTGCCCCAGTCTGGGGTGCTAGAGCATCCCACTTCTTCCCAAATTCCCAGGAGGGGCACAGCCTGTCCTGCTATGACTTCTGCAGCCCCATCCTGGGTTTATTTGCCATGGTCTGTGCAAAGCTTCCATCCCGCCACAGTGCTTCCATCCTGTCTGCAGCCAGGAACCATGCTGGGCTGGGGACCAAGGGTTGGGGTCACTCAGCAGCCTGGGTGCTTGTCCATGGGTGCACAAGCACCAGCCTGCCCCCAACCCTGTCCGCTCTGCCCGGCCAAGTGTCCCACACTGTGCTGGCTTCCCTGGTCAGGAGGATTTCCCAGCTTATGCTATGTGCTTGCTGAGATACCCTGTCCCAGGGTGCTAGTGGGCTTACTCACACCTGTAGTCTAGTGCCAGTGAGCCAGGATGGCACCTTCTCCAGGTGCCAACCCTGTAGCATTGTTCTGCCCAGTGCCATCTCTCTGCACCTGAGCCCCAGTTTTGGGGAACCCACTTGCAGAGTGAGTTTTGCTGGGGAGCAGGGCTGTGGGGCTGCATGGCTGCTGACCACTAGGCTCTGGCTGAGAGCTGAGCCTCCCTGTGAGACTCACCTCTAGCTCCTGCTTGTTTCCTGGTCTCACCCCAGCCACCATGGAAAGGGCTGGCCTGCCCAGGCAGGCAGCACACTGTGTGGGCCAGTGCCACCGTTCTTCTTTATTTGTTGGCATGGTGATGTCTTTGTGAAATTGGGACACAGGAAGCCATATGGTCCTCCAATACTGCTATATGATTGTTTCCCCATGAATTACAGCCCGTGGATCCATGGGCTGGTGCAAGGAAGCAACTGTGAGATGGCAGTTTTTGCTTAGACCTTTTATGTGCATTCTCACCACAAAGGTGGTTTGAGAGGAAAAGCTCCGAAGACCACATTTGAGCTGGAGGAGGCTAGGGAGTCATGGATGGGGCACCTCTGCTCACAGCTCCTCTGGTGCCATGCAGGACACTTGTGCCAAAGAAATGTCTTCCACCACCCAAAGCCATGCTTGTGGTCCTTCTGAAGGATGGAGGCCGTGAGTATGAACCCCTTTGCTTTGGGAGCAGTCAACATGCCTGTTGGCATGGTGGATGCTGTGGCAGCACTGGGGCTCTGCAGCTCTCATCCCCTGGGAAGGCCCTGCCGGAGATGAAGGAGACATCAGAGACGCACAGAGGCTGCGGCCAGCCTGTGGCCAGTGCTATGGTGTAACACACCCTGTGTATAATGCGATTACACTGTGTGTGGCTGATTCCACCCCACAAACAGAAATCTGTGTGAGTATGTATATGTGTATGCTGCCTAGGTCTATACTGCATTGTTTATGTAGATGGAAAAAAGGGCTTGTAGCTCTTCTTTGAAGAACCAGCATCTTCCAACCCTACCGATCACAAGGGAACCTCACTGCTGGTCCAGTCCCTCTATTTAATTTGTGTAGAGTGTCTGTGTAGTTTGGGACAAAAGATGCAGATTGCACAATAAATCTTTCTTTTTTACCCACTGACACATAGCAACCCTTTGATAGGAGTGGACCACATGTGGTATAGCCCTGAAGACTCCTGATGAGCCTGGGGCCATGCTGGATGCTTCTGCATGGGGGCTGCAAAGCAGAAGAGAGGCAGCAGCCCTGTGGTGCTGAGGGGTGCTGGGGAAAGCCACCAGGGAAAGCTGGAGTAATTGCACAGGACAGTGAGATCCGCCCTACTTAAAGCCATGGGGTTTAGGGGAAATCATAGAATCGATTAGGTTGGAAAAGACCTTTAAGATCACCAAGTCCAACTTCTACCCCAGGACTGCCAAGACCATCACTAAAACATGTCACTGAGGGCCTCATCTAAACGGTTTTGAACACTCCCAGGGACAGTGACTCCACCACTTGTCTGGGCAGCCTGTTCCAATGCCTGATCACCCTCTCTGTGAAGAAATCTTTCCTAATATCCAATCTAAACAATGTCCCCTGGAGCAGCTTGAGGCCGTTACCTCTTGTCACTTGTTACTTGGGGGGAGAAAAAGACCCCCACCTTGCTACAACTTCGTTTCCGTAGTTGTAGAAAGCGGTAAGGCCCCCCTCCCCCCGAGCCTTCTCTTCTCCAGACTAAACACCCCCAGGTCCCTCAGCCGCTCCTCATCACACCTGTTCTCCAGACCCTTCACCAGTTTCGTTGCCCTTCTCTGGACCTGCTCAAGCACCTCAACGTCTGTCTTGTAATGAGGGGCCCAGAACTGTGCTCGAGATATGGCCTCGCCAACACCAAGTAGAGGGGGATGGTCACTTCCCCAGTCCTGCTGGCCACACTGTTGCTGATACAGGCCAGGATGCCGAAGGGTTTCTTGGCTGCCTGGGCACAAGCTGGCTTATGTTCAGTTCTGTCAATACCCCCATAAAGTGCTGCCAGAGGCCTGACACCTGCAGAGGGCACCCCCACCCCGGGAGCCAGGCGCAGCGGCACGGCCATGGGGGAGCCGGGGGACGCTGGGTCGGTTTAGCCGTGCCGGGGCTGAGCGGCGACACGGCTGCCCCGCCGAGCCGGCTCTGAGGGGACCGAACTCCGGGACCTCAGCGCCAACTCCGCCCCGGCAAAGGCGGGCCGGCGGCGGCCCTGCCCGGTGTCCCCGCCCCGTTTCCGGTGTCATGGCGGCCGGAACGCGGCGGCGGCTGGTGCCGGGTTTGGTGGCGGTAGCGCGGCAGCGGCGGGGCAGCGGGAGCGGCGGGGGGGCGATGTGAGGCGGGACCGCGCCATGTCGGGGTGCGTGTGGGGCGCGGCGCCGCTGCTGGAGGCGCTGGGCCGGCTCTGGGAGGTGCAGGCGCCGCTGGGCAGCGGCTCCTCGGCCTCCGTCTACCGGGTGCGCTGCTGCGGAGACCCGCGGGCCCCACCGGGCGCCGTCAAGGAGTTCGTACCCCCCCCGCCGCGGCCCGGCCCCGCGCGCCGCCCCGGCGCCCGCCCGCCCGCCGCCGACTGCGCCGAGTACGGCTTCCGCAAGGAGCGCGCCGCACTCGAGCACCTCCGCGGGCACCGCAACATCGGTAACGTCACCCCCGGTACCTCCTCCCCAAACCCCTTTCCCAGGGCAGCCCCGTGGGCACCCCCTATTCCCGGAGCGCCCCCCAAACAGCCTCCCCCAGGGCAAACTGGTGTCCCGAAACCACCCCCAGCCCCTTGGGGAGTATGAGTGCCCTCACCCCCAAGCTGGCCCTCACAGGTAGGGCTAGGGACCCCCAAACCAATGTCCCCCTTGGGTTGACACCCCTGGGAGGGCAGGTTTGCCTGGACACCCCAAAGCAGTATCCCTGTGGTGGGTGTTGGTGCATGCTCCTGGGTCCCCCGCTTTCCCTGAGCTGGGGTCTGTGGGTGACCTCCCCAGTGCGAGCAGGAGCAGGCAGGAGATGGTGTCACCCTGTGGGTAGGCAGAGTACGTCCCACAGGCAGAGCACCCCAGTGTCCCACTTCGGGTAGGGCTGCCTGAGCCGCACTGCCTGCTCGGCAGTGGTGGGGTGCTGTCTGCCTGCTGGCTCTGTCTGTGGTATGGGTAGGAAAGGGCCTGTCAAAGGAGAAAGTCTCCACATCAGAGGCGTCTGCTGGAAGTCCCTAGGTTCACCCACCGCTGATTCTTTTTCTCAGTGTGATATGCTTTTTAATGCTGTAACATACCTAGACACCCAGGCAAAGTTTAGGTTCCTATTGTGCTAGGTTTGTTGCAGGAAGAGATTGACATGTCCCAAAAAGAGTGGTACTGCCTCCATTTTACCCACCGGGACATGCTTATCCGTGTCACAGAGTTTGATCTGAGCGCTTGGCCCTGACGCTTTAGCAGAGCCTCATGGCCTGCCCTCCAAAGCTCTTAGGGGTGACATGACTGGTGTTTCCTTGCTGCCTCCCTCTGTGAAGTCTGGTTCTACATCTTTCTGAACATCACGCTGGTTCCTGCAGCTTCTGTGGTGATCTGGGCAGTGGTGGAATGTGACTGTTTAATTGCTTGTTACCAATGCCAGTCACTGTGTCTGACTGTAGTGACACTGTACGGCGTGTTCACCAACCACTACTCTGCAAATGGCCCATCTCGCTGTCTCCTGCTGGAGCTGCTGGACATCAGTGTGTCCGAGCTGCTGCTGCACTCCAGCAACCAGGGCTGCTCCATGTGGATGATCCAGCACTGCGCCCGAGACGTTCTCGAAGCCCTGGCTTTCCTGCACCACAAAGGCTACGTGCACGCAGACCTCAAGCCACGCAACATCCTGTGGAGCGCAGAGGAGGAGTGCTTTAAGCTCATTGACTTTGGACTTAGCTTCAAAGAGGGGAATCAGGTTTGGAACATGCTTCTGTCTAAGCGGTTGGCTCTGTGTTGAGTTGTATGCATCTGTGATGCCTTTAGCTCATTGAGTGTAGGAGTTGACATGACCTGATTGATGTAGTAGCTGAGCTGGTGCTGAGGGTTTCCTGGAAAAGGCTAAAATGTTATGTTCCCATTCTCCTTGCCTGTCTTTGTGGATGGCTTAAGCCTTTATGCTGCATATGACCATGAATTCCAAAGTTAATGATGCACTGAAAGAAGTGGTGTGTCAGCTTCTTGGAAGGTTTGCTAGTTTTAATGCAGTCAGACGAGTGGGAGCATCCAGATCTGTAGAATTTCCTTTTATCATCCCTTATCACATGTAGTAGTAATCCAGGTTTCACCATCAACCTCCCAGTCAACTGCATTATCTCTGGCAGTGTCCTTGTGCTTGTCTTTACTTTCATCCTGTCTTCAGCAGCTTCCCTTTCTCGGAAAGTCTGGATGTTTCCCATGTCATTGTGTTGACGAAAGCCCATACCCTGGTTGTGGGTAGGCAGTGTCCGTTCTTTACTGACACAGACAGATCTCTGCCTGTTCTGCTCTGCTTTTCCCTTTTGCTGGGTTTTCACTCCCTCTTCATGCTGCCAGTTTTTTTGTTTTGGCAGTGCTGGATTTTGTAAGTTTGTCTTTGCTCTTTTTATTCTCTTCTGCTTCCTTTTGTGAAAGTAGAGAGCCTCAGGAGGTTCTGCTGTTGGCTTGATAGAGCTGCCTTTTATCCCTCCCTCTCCCAGTAACAGCCTGCAAGGGGTGTCAGTAAAGCTTTTTCATCAGGTAGCTTCTTAGTAAATTTGCCTTTAATGACTGGGTGATGGGCAGTAGGTTTATTTTTTTATTTTTTCCATGCAGACATTGCCCTGGCTTGTCCCTATTCCATGCACTCTGCTCATTTAGAGGTTTCAAAATTCATATACTTTTTTTACTGGCTTACCTGGTACGGACAGTACAGCCTGCTGTGAATATCAGGACTGTGTGGGTGATCTGTCTGCATTCTTTGGTGCAGGAGTTGTTTTTAATGTTTGCACTTCTTAACTCCTCCATGTTGTCTTCAGTTCTCCCACATTCTTGGCTGAATACTGGTTTGTGCTGGTAATCTGTTCAAGTCTATCAGCAAAAAACATTCTCCTGGTGTCCCATGTCTAATGCAGATATACCTTTTTTTTTTAAATGTAGATCTGTGTTTTGCTGCTTGCTCTGTGACTTGCCTCGTAATAGTTGATCAGGTGTTTTACTTGCTTCTGTGGTTCCTTCCAATCTGCTTTGTTTGGCTCAGTTTCCTTTTCCAGTTCTCAGAAATACGCTGGCTCTATGGGTGAACCTTCTCACCCTGCTTTGAATGTGCACTGGGTGCAATGGGTGGGCTTCCCCTCACCACCCTTACCTTGGGCGGTAGCATATATGTACGCGATTTCCTTATATGAGTCAAGACTATGCTACTTTTATTTGTGACAGCTCTGCCAAGCTTATCCTTGCATAACTTTTCCTGCTGTTACTGTTTAACTGAGAATGGCTGTACACAGAGCAAGGTCTCAACGACTTACATCTCTCAAAATGCCTTAGATGGTAGGAGTGAAATTCCATCTCACCCTATGGCCAATGACCACAGTGTTTTCTCGGTCTCTAAATGTTACTTGATGGGGTTGCTAAATTGCTGCTTTTGCCATGCTAGAGATTCTGCTCTTTGCTCACAGGAGGAGGGGCGCTGATTTGTGTATCAATTTTTTTAAGCTACAAACTGCTTTGGCAACCTCTGTTGCCTGAAAACGTCTTCTGTAAACTTTGTTTTCAGTCAGAGAATCAGATAATTTTTGGTTTGAATATATTCCCCTGGTAAGAATTCCCAATCCTGCACCTTACCCAGGAAGTAGGCTTGTCTGTTCTTGTTTCATTCTTTAAGTTGAGACAGCGTGTCTAAAATGAGCCCTCCTGCATTAAAAAGACACAGCATGCAGTTTGTCTTTGGACACTTGCAAAGCTTGGCTACACAAAGCCACGGCTGACTGATCAGATATTTGTCTGTGAGCAGGAGACTGGATTGGAGACCTTCAGAGCAGCCCCTCCCGCCAGCACTTGTGTGATTCTGGAATTTCCCTGTTTCTTTTAAGCAGGTGGTGTGTGGGCATTTTGTTTTACTGTGCCAGCCGCAGCAGCGGG